ATACGAGGGAGGCCGAGAGGGGGGTCCGGGCTGACTAGGCGAGGGGCCTGCCCGTGGAAGCCATCTGAGACAAGCCCATGTCCGTCGCGAACTTAACACAAGTCCCGCCGTACTGGCGCGGCGCGAGCACCCTCCCGCAAGGAATGTCCTGCATTTGGCTTGAGGCAGAATTCCCTTTAAACCCATTTATCACCCTCAACCTCTCCAATTCATCTGTTGCCTCCAGCACCCTTGGAATCTGCTGATTTTTCTACATGTTCTTGAACATTCATCACAACCAAAACCCTGTTCCCTTGGAATGAATTTGAGTGTAGAAAACCTATTTGTGAGACTAATCTATCCACCCTAATGCAGACCGGATAGCCAGTCTGGTATAAAAACATCAAAATAAGTTTGGATTTCATGTTCATAGTATTATATGTGTATAGAAAAAGGTACACATTTATTGAACACTGACTCACTCCTCAACTCATGCATTCAGGACAGGCACATGTCAATCTTGAGTTAATACTGAAAAAAACTGTGAGAATATGTTGGACCTTGATCCAATCACACAATTGCATTCCTCAGGAATTACTCTCACAAGAATTCCTGCAGATCCACCAGTTCTTGATGGAATTACTCACAGTAATTAGTAGAAGAAAGCCAAGATCAAGGGCTACAACATAGTCTATTTGCATCTTGTGTTGAATGTGAGGGAGAGATCTGGAAGAGTTTCAAATAAAAATTTCATGAATTACTTTGTTGAAACCTGCCAGCCTCAGGCTGTCGGTGTCACTTTATTCATAAGCCTCTCCTTCCAAGACCCTTTGCGCCTGCTCTGGAGAGGATTAGTTAAGCTCGTGTCCGTCAACCCTCCCTTGCCACAAAATACATATGATGGCCAAATTGCAAGATCTTGCAGTGTCCTTCATTATCATCCACTTTTCTTTGACTTTCTCAATCAAACCTCCTAAACAAACACAGTGGAATATAGACACTAATACATAATCAAGTTCCTAATATATCTGGTATACCATCATTCAACTTCCACCTATGTATCCAAACTCAGAGAGTCACAGCCTCCCAGAAGCTATCAGGCATTCACAGAACCTGATTGATATATCCACCCAAATTTGCAAATTTTATGCATCAAGTCATGGATCACTCATTGCCAACTTCAACCTGCCAAAGGGATTACCAACAGAATGGTGTCCCCAGAAATTGAGCAACTTTGTCACCATGAAAAAAAAAGCATGAAAGTATGATTGTTCAGTCATGGTACATTTTTATTGAAGAATTTCATTCTCTGCTGATGACAATAGGCTAAGGAAACTCCTGTTTCTAGATACCAAATAGACACATTATCAGCATGGAATCTGGATAAATCTCTCTAATCTATAGGATTGCTAGCAGGACTGAACTCTCTATATTTGCTTTGACAGGCCTTTATAAGTCCATTTTATTTCTCACTCAAGGTATTGAACTAGAAAAAATTGTATAATCCCCTCACAATCAATGATTAAATTTAACAGAAAGTCTCACTACTTCATTTGTATTGTGGCCAGAAATGGGGGTATATGCTTGATCAGTTTTTGGAACCCTGCAATTGTATAATTTTGGATATGGTTTATCCAATTATATCAAGGATTTTATTCCCCTTTGAACTGTAATCCAATTCTCTGATTGCTTTGCCTAAATATACATTTGGCTTGAAGAATGAGTATTCCAAGATCATCTTCTCATGATTTTGGTCTTTAGCCAAATTTATTGAGTCAATGAGACTTGAAATGTTGTAGTATTCAATTTGAAGGTTCAAATAAATCAACAAGATCATCCATAATTGGTCAATCAAACTTGGCATAACAGCAAGACACCACCATTGTTGAAATCATTGATACACCCACCCCCCTCAAGTGTTCAAACCTCACCTGGTACATACACCTCATCCCTATGTCAAGTTGGAAGAAGATCAAGGTAGCAATGCTGATTGCAAGCTGCATTTCTAGTGCCCGATGCCTTCTATGCCCTAACAAATGCAAGACCCTATCTAACTACATGCAACACTTCTATAACTTAGCCACTTGCAATACAATGACCAGCTGTCCTGTTCATCCACAATGTGTGAAATGCAAAAAGATGGTGCCTCAACAGACACACACATGTCCAACTTGTGGACATGAATGGACAGTAGCTGTTGTCACTGAATGTCCCAGACTTCAACCAGAGGGGGATCAGCACCATAATCCAATATGCAAAATACCCAACACAGCCGCTGCTGCTTGAATGTAAATCTCTCCTTCACACAAAGAGATATCCCTCTTTCATCATGAGGGAAACAGTGCAAGAATATTTTTTTTTTAAAAAAGAAACTTGTTTTTTTCAGTGGATGAAATTATTGATCAAGTGAAGTAGTCAATACATTTTTTTCAAAAAAAAAAGAAGCATATAGCTGAAATTAGCCAATATCATGTGATTTTTTTAATGCTACTGATCATTCAAACTTTGTTGCAATTTTTCATGTGGTTCAGATCCTTGTTTACATATGAATCAATCTTTATGATTCAAGTAATTTCAATGTTCAATCAGATTAATTTCTGTTAATGAAGAGAGTGAATTTGTGTCCTCATATTGCATTTTGAATGTAAAAAGACTGAAGCTGAGCACATCCAGATTTGTGAGATAAATTAAAACATCCTCAATCCCACACCAGCAAAGGCCCAGCTGCAGCTTCGCGCGAGCAACGGAAGATGCTCTTCAACTTCTC